GTCATACGATGGCTTAAGATGCCCTCACGAATAGCCCGATGTTGTTACGATCAGACCCAAATTTGAACATTTCCTTTATCGTGTGTCCATCTGGTGTCAATTAAGAGGCTTTAAGAGGTACAAACACGGAGGATTGTTCGCTCAGCTCTGTAAAGTAAATGTCCCTTAACTTTTCCCCTTAACTTGGCTGAGAGATCGCCGTGACTTCCGTAAATATTAGTCTTGGCACATATGGAGAGGTTGTTTATCTTCATACGTACCTATTGTTACCCTGATTTTAAGATCTGTCCAGTGTTTCAGCTTTATTCATTTCATGAGCACCGCTGATAAAATGTTCCACGATCACTTCCTCTACTTTTGTGTCTCGAGTGCCTGTGTTCTCACACACAAGCATACGCACACTCGCACCAACAAAAACACACACACACAAAGCGGAACAAAGCAGAAGCAGAAACATGTATTTTTCTAGGCAAAACACACACTGACTGACTTCCCACGGACAATATGTTAACAGTAGGCACTAAATACCCGACTGATGCACCTCACTAGTGATGTGTCGGACTTTTAAGTGAACGACGGGTGACGGCCCGCGAACGAGCCGTTTTTTGTTAAGTAATACAAGACAGAATGATATGATGATTTCCGCACTACAGCTGCTCCGTGCATGCATGTAGTGACATGTAATATCCAAGGATTAGAGACGGTTGGATGCTGCTGTTTTGAGCATTGCAATATATTTATTTTCAGTGTTATTTATTTATGATTATCCTTAGGCTGAGCAAAGATTTGATGTCAGCTTTTGCTGTCTTTTTTTCTATAGTTAATACTGAAATAGAGCCCTGCTGTTTTGTCAGTGCCTTTTCTTTAAATATAATTTTAAAATGTCGAAACAGTAGCCCCTTTTTTTAAATGTCTATGCTTAAGGTGTTTTATAGGTGTTGCTATCTGCTTTGTGTAGCGTGGATCTACAAGCAAGTCAGTGCATTCATTGGGTGGTATCAGAGAGTTACACGGGTCTGTAAATGCAATTGGCCACAGCAAATCATTTATATTAAAAATGTAATTTTTACTTTTGAATTCTTCAGTACAAAGGATGTATTGAATAATGTAAGTGATATATGTGTACACATATAAATCATTAGTCAAAACAGGGCTACATTTGATTTAATTAAAAGGTATAATTTGTGGTAAACTGAAGAGCCGTTTGGGAGCCGAAAGAGCCGGCTCTTCTTGGTGAGCCGAGCCAAATGATCCGGCTCACCAAGAAGAGCCGGAATTCCCATCCCTAAGTCTCTCCCTCACAGAGCTGAACTGACCAATCATAATCTGGGTCCTGCCTGCTTCATTTGCATATGGCTCACTAGTGAACGTGTAAGGCCTTCACGTTCACATAGAACCATCTCCACTGTCTTGAGAGCATTAAGCTCCAAGTGGTTGTCCCTGTACCAGGTCTCAGAATGCATTCATTATTGTACTCAGGAGGGGAGTTTGACAGAGTATTGCTCAAAAAGTACACGATAAAAGTACTTGATTGTACTTGTGGTAGTAGTCCAAGTAGTACTCTGTCCAGTAGTACGACTTTCACTGAGAACTCATGGCACAAAATCATTCTATCTCTCATCAAAGATGGCAGAAAACATGCATTATTGTACTCTGGAGGGGAGTTTGACAGGGTATTACTCAAAAAGTACACGATAAAAGTACTTGATTGTACTTGTGGTAGTAGTCCAAGTATTACTCTGTCCAGCAGTACAACTTTCAACTAGGAACTTATGGTAAAACATATTTGTATCGAAAAATATAGCACAAAAACATGCATTATTTTATTCTTGGCGATTACCGTAAAGACGCTATTAATCACGCGCTCAAAAATGAAGAGCCGCTCATTTGACCAAACAAATTTGAGAGACGGCTGAGTTGACCGCAGTCACTGGACAGATCTTAAAATCAGGATAACGATAGATCTGTATGAAGATAAACAACCTCTCCATATTTGCCAAGACTAATATTTACGAAAGTCACGGCGATCTCTCAAAGCTGTGATCCGAAGAGCGTTACTTCCTCTTTCTATCCATCAATAATGTCACTCTGTTATCACAATGCAATTCTAATCCAAGCCACTTTCAAATTGCAGCTTAATAAAATGTTTTAAAGAGGATCTATATTCGAATATAGATCCTTAGGCCTTAGGACTGCAGACTCTGCAGTCCTAAGGCAACTTTCTAATTTTAAGAAAGTCTTCAATGTTCTTACCTAATTTGATATAGCCTACAGTCATATGATCATAATAACAAAATACTTTTGTTTTATATTTTTTGTAAATATGGTCATATGACTGTATTTTAAAACACAGTGTATTTAAGCTCTTAAATAAACTATTTGGGCTGGGTGGCGCTCTATAGCTTAGGGCCAATAGGAAACCTTGATGCGTTCTTTCCCCTCCTCCTCATTAGCATTCTGTGCAACTAGTGTGACTAGTGCACATTTGGGATCCACTAGTGCTACTAGTGAACATTTTAAGCCTCACTAGTTCACTAGTGGAATTTAAATGTATCTCACTAGTTAACTAGTAAAAGTCAAAGGGTTCACTAGTTAACGTGTAGACATTTTGAGCCCCACTAGTTAACTAGTAAGGTCAAAAGAGGCGTCAACTAGTTAACTAGTGAACTTTTTGCCTTTACTAGTTAACTAGTGAGTTATTCTGGGTGCGACTAGTTAACTAGTGCAGACAAATGTTTGCCACTAATTAACTAGTTGTGCTTCTTTTGTGTGACTAGTTAACATGTCAGAGATTTTGCAGCGCACTAGTTAACTTGTAAGACTTTTAGGGTCACTAGTACGGGCAGAGGGCCACTAGTTCATCAAAAAGCTTACACGTTGGGACTTTGGCGCTACTAGTGCTGCTCCTGGCGTCACTAGTAAGGCTTACGTGATAACTAGTCGGACAAAAGTGCCACTAGTGGCTGAAAAAGAGCGACTAGTGAAATGTTTTATTTAACTAGTAAAGCAGAGTGCCTAACTAGTTTGACCATATATCTAACAAGTGAAATCAAAGAGCTAGTGTAGTCTAGTGTAGTCCGCTGCCGTCTGATATCAAGGATATGGAATAAATACTCAAATGGCTTGCCATAGATCACTAGTACGGTCAGAGGGCCACTAGTTAATCAAAAATCTTACACGTTGGGACTTTGGTGTTACGAGTGCTGCTCCTGGCGTCACTAGTAAGGCATACGTGGTAACTAGTCGGACAAAAGTGCCACTAGTTGCTGAAAAAGAGCGACTAGTGAAATGTTTTGAATAAATACTCAAATGGCTTGCCATAGCCGTCTGATATCAAGGATATGGAATAAATACTCAAATGGCTTGCCATATGACACAACCATCACCAGCAACAAGTTGACACAAACCTGTCTGTCGAGGCTCTGCACAGCGCACAGCCGGCCACAGCTCCTGGAGGACGCGTTAACAACCCGTAGCTCCGACTGTCAGTCGCGAAGCTGCACGCGGCCAGCTGCTTGCAGAGAAATCCCTCAGATCAAACGTTCAAACCTCAACGCTGTAGGCTACAAGAATGTAGCCGCGGTACTCTCGCGAAGCGAGAAGATGAAAAGGAGCCGATCTGCTAATGACGCCGGCCTATGTAGCCGTCGTCACGTGGGTCACAGGTGATTTTGTTGTTATTAGGTACTCGAACTGCGCATGTGTGCGATGGATGCTAAAGCACCGCCTCTGGTGGTCAGTAGGGACGAAATAGAACAACTAAGGAGATTGCTGAAACTACTAAAATTGGGTTAAGAACTGTCCAAAGCATTATTAAGAGAGAGAGAGAGGCGGATGAAGTGATGCACCCATCATGCCTAGTGCCTACCGTACAAGCCTGTGGGGGCAGTATTATGGTCTGGGGCAGCTGTAGTTGGTCAGGTCTAGGTTCAGCTACGTTCCCAAAGAATGAGGTCAGCTGACTACCTGTATATACTGAATGACCGGGTCTTTCCATCAATGGAGTTTTTCTTCCCTGATGGCACGGCCATCTTCCAAGGGGACAATGCCAGGGGGGCTCACATTGTGAATGAGTGCTTCAGGGAGCAGGAGACAACCTTTCTACACATGGAAGTCCATACCTCAGCCCCATTGAGAGTCGTTGGGATGTGCTGGAGAAGACTTTGCGCAGCGGTGCGACTCTCCAATCATAAATACAAGATCTTGGCGGAAAATGAATGCAACTCTGGACAGAAATAAATGTTGTGTCATTGCAGAAGCTTATCGAAATGATGCCACGGCGACTGCGTGCTAAAGCTAAAGGCGGTACAAATAAATATTAGAGTGAAACTTTTTTTTTGAAAGGGCAAAAAACCAGTATATTTACTACCATCTTAATTGATGGAGAACAGTCTGTAGTACCCTTCGCTGTGTTTGTTCAAACTGATCAGAGAGCAGCTTAGGTGCTTCCTTCTTTTTCGCACACATCGACACACTCCGGTTCTTGTTTCATGTCCTCTTTAAGAACCACACGTTTGATGAAGAGTGTAGAGTGAAGAACTGTGGGCCTGATGAATAAACGGGCATCAACCTTCTGATTATTATTTACGTCCATCCATCCGCCGAGGCCGGCAGGATGAATGAAGCTTGTAGAAGTTCCTAATGGACTCTGAGAGGACGAGACAGACGGATGGAGAGAGGGAAGCTGGAGGTGAAGGAACACATCACTCTTTCCTTTTCAAAAGCTTTAGATAATAGCAGGCTGCAGATCCATCACAGGAAGGTGTGGGGGGGCCGACAGCAGATTTAACATCATGAAGTGGTCAGCCATGTTTGGTGGATCAGATATTTTACACTTCAGTGTGACGGCATAGTTCATGTAATCTTTAACCCACTATGCAGCATCATCCGAAAAATTCAAATGTATTGTATCTTCTGGAAGTGAAATATCACCTGAAAAAACAGTTGCTTAGTTTGTGCGTGCGTGTGTAAAACATTACCTGTTTTTTTCCCTCCTGCAGATCGTGGGTCCAGCAGATGGGTCGAACTACATCGTGGATTATTACGGCGCCCGGCTGACCCGCCTGTCCATCACCAACCAAACCTACAGGAAGCCACATCTGTCTCTGTGAACACAGCCTCACACACTGTGAGTTCACTGGAGAGTTTAGAGTGTTAGGTTATGCTCTCAAACATTCAAAGTTTGCTTAATGTTGGCTCTATGGATTTCTTTTCTGCATACAAACGTCTCGTCAATATAATGTTAAACTAAGAAAAGCAGGAAATCTTCATAATTGTGAGGCTAAAAACAAGCATTTTCTGATATTTTGGAAAATAACATAGCTGTTACGATACATCGGTTTACAAAATAGATGCTTGTACATATATAGAAACAGTCAGTATCCAGAGCATCACAGTCTCCAAACAGATCATCAGAACACATTATGTTCACATAAACATATCTAACCCAACACTTGATTAAGAAAGTACAAGATAACCTTCACAGATCAAGGTCACACACACACACACACACACACACACACACACACACACACACACACACACACACACACACACACACACACACTTCCCCTGTGGGATTGAGCTGTTTAATATCATTGGTAATTGTAAGTCGCTTTGGATAAAAGCGTCAGCTAAATGAAATGTAATGTGTAAATTCAACATGAGGAAAGTTTCTCAGGGAATAAAAGAGTGACACTGAATAAAATCTAATCCAGTTTTGACTTCTTAAAGGCAGCGTTACTACAGCGGGGGAAAGGAGGGCTTTCATTCAAATACTCTACTTCAGTACAATGTTTGTACATGTACCGAACTTAAGTATTTCCAGTTTAAGCTACTTTATACTTACTCTAGTTCCACAAAGAGAACACAATAAGATAATATGGAATATAATGATAATACAGTAGCATTACAATCACAGGTGCCATGTTACTAAAGGGTTAACAACAGGACTTGGTGTTTTTACAGTGTGCTATCGCTACCTTTAATAGAAGGTGTTCATTAAAATGTTATTTGAAATATAAAAATGTATTCAGCATTGTATTCAGTGCTAGATATGTAATATTATATTGCTTGTATTCTTTTACTCTGTGTGCATATTAATTATTGATACAATAATTCAAATATAAATGTACAATATTAAAACAAAAAATGGTCATGAAATTAAAGATTTCAGTAAAACATAAAGATGAATAAAAAAGGGAAATGTAATTATATAAATATCTGATTTTAAAACAGAATATTGAAAAATAATCTTTAAATCTTTTATTTGTTCTTCCTTCAAGCCCGTCATAAATACAGAGAAGACTGCATACAACGGAGGATCCCCTTAACTTCCTCCACATCCACAGTTTAAAAATGAATGTGATATTTATTCAAACCTTCAGCCACCTGACTGAAGACATTTCAAGCAGCATTCGTCTGGCTCCGCATGTTTTCAGATTCATCCATCAAATGTTAGATTGATCAGTAGCCTACTATAAGCCATTCGTTTCTTCAAGCATAATTACGGTGTTTCCACCTCTGCTGTAGAGTAAACTAACAATATCTAGTCTCTCTGGGTCACATTTATATCACACCAGCTGGTCATGTATTTAAATGTGTTGTACTATACTGTGATGTTTCTTTGCTGTTATGTAACAATGTTTTTCTATGAGAACAGACATTGTAAATAAAGTTTCTTTTTGCTTTCCGTCTATATTTGACTCTTTATTAAATAACACAATTGTTGAAGTCCCACAGCTGAGGATGTGATTTGTTTAAGAGGGTTTCATCTTTTTTTAATTGTAGTAATTTTTTTATTGGAACCACTTAGATATTTGATGTGGTTGTTACTTGTTTGTTACTGTTTAAAGGTCCCCTATTCTACTATTTCCCCCCAATATACTACAGGTCTCAGATACATACAGAACATGTCTCTGAAGTGTTTGGCTGAAACACCAAACACTTCATTGTAGCATCCCATAATCCTCTCTGTTTCAGCCCTGTTTCCAAAGTGCCGATTCTGGGTCTGTAGCTTTAAATGCTAATGAGCTGCTGCTGGCCACGCCCCTCTGAGAGATGATTGGTTCAAAAACATAATGGTGCTCTAGGAGGAGATTCAGGTGATAAGGTGGTTGGTTACCTTGGTTGGTGATTGGCTAATGGTTACACAAGCCAAACAAACATTGTGACATCAAAAAGTGGCCAAAATCTAATCTTCAGTCTTTGTTCCTGAAACAGTCAGAGCACAGAGGGGACACATACTGTATATATGTATAAAAGACATGAAAAAGTTGATTTTGCCTAATAGGTGACTGTGGTTAGGACGCCGGCTGCTGGAGTGATGGGAGTGGCTCGGCCGGGGACCAGACAGCTGATCAGAATCAGGTGATCAGTCACTCAATGAAAGCATGTGGTAACCTGGTTCTGGGCTCTTGCAGTAGACTGGCTCCTGGGTGGAGGACTGTCACTCGCCCAGCCACCTCGGGAAATAGAGGAGCAGACTGGGGTTCATTGGAACCCCTTTTGGTGTTGACACTCAGCCTGAAATAAACTGCTTGTTTGCCAAACCGTTCCATCCGTCATATTTTATCCCTCTCGTGAGCTGGAACGCTCACAGTGACCTTTAAACGTTTGACAGTATTACAAAACACAAAACATGTATAGATCAACTATAGATACATCAGCACCTGCTCTTCAAACTGCTCAATTATTCAACAACGTTTTACATAATACATATTATGTAAAACTTTGTTGAGTAATGGAGCAGTTTGAAGAGCAGGTGCTGATCTTGCACAAAACATTTTTTTTCCAGTCCAAACTTGTGAATTCCTGGGAAAAGCCTTGGAGGTATATTTTTTGAAATCACTTTTTTTGGATCACTATCAAGTATCGTGTTTGTTTGTTTGCTTGTTTTGATGAACTCACAATGTTACTGATGTGATACACAGTCCTAACAGCTTCTCCCTCACACTGATAGACAGGTGGCAGTAACACGGCAACACATGCAGCAATGCACCAGCTAGAGCAAAAGAACACTACAAGCTTATAAACAACATCTTGCTCTTTTTTTATTGTTAATCCTGCACACCATGTAAATGGACTGTACTTATATAGCGTTGTATCCAGTCTTTAAGACCCCTCAAAGCGCTGTACATACTACATGTCATTCACCCGTTCACACCCATTCATACAGAGCAGTGTACCTTTCTCAAATTCATAATTTGAAAAATTATTGATTCGAAAATAATATGCTACAGTACGAGTCTGGGTCTCTGTGTTTCATTCAAGCTCGAATCTGTGTGTGTGTGGAACAAGCCTTTTTTGTGCGACCGAGAGACAGAGAGGGCGCACCAGTACCGGAGATCGTTGTTGTTAGCTTCTGGTGCTATCGAGCTACGCTAAAGGGTATAAGGATCTTTGTCAACAACAAGGTGGAAGAGAGTCCTAACTTTAGTTTCAGTGGGTCTCAAACGGTTTGGTCACTATTGATGTAAACAATTATTTCCGATTCCGAGGCACACATTTATATGATCATTATAGGTATACAAAAATAAGAGAATAAATGAAAAACAGGTATGAAATACTATATGACAGTAAAACAAGAATAAAGTTTAAAAGGGTGATTTGTAAAATATCTATAAAGAAAAAGTAAATCTGTTTACAGTTCTGTTTCATATGGGTGTTGAGAGAGGTATCCATAGATCTATTAATTTTGCTCTCAAAAGTGCACAAGATTGATGCACTGCCACCCCCGGACCCCCCTAGAGGATGTGAGGTCCACCCCCCCCTAAAAAAAAATAGCACTTTACCCCTGCTTACACCTATATGCCGTGAGCTGATTATCGAGCCTTCATTGTAACAGTTGCGGGTACACTGTGTATTTGGGTGGGGATTGTTGCAGTAGAAAATTCCACTATAGCAACCGGTACATTAATGGGAACCCATTACCACCCTCTATGAAACGTCAAGCTACCCCACAGCACCTCCAAAAGAAAATCTCTGGCGCCGCCACTGAGCCTGCAACCCCGTTTTGAAGAAATGTGCAGTGCAACACAGGCTCATTGCAGCCACTAAGACACACTTTTTTGCCAAATATCAGCATTTTCTTTCTTTTCATTTTTTTGCACAGATTGCAAAGTGGCAAAGTATTATAACTTATTGTTCTAGCAAAGGGATTGCACAATTGTATTATGTATTTATTTTTTGAGCATTGTTTTATTATCACTTTTCTAGCAAAGTGATTTATTTGCTAAAGGAATGCTTACATTCATATTGATGTATTTTTTTAATAAATGTTAACTTGGCCCATTACGTGACGATTTATGTTGGGGGAACCTGACTTTTTTGTTCCTCCAAAAGGGGGCCTGACAGAAAAAGTTTGAGAACCACTGCTCTAGGACCTAACATTCACACACATTCATACACCGTTGGCCATGCCATCAGGAGCAACTCAGGGTTAAGTATCTTGCCCAAGGATACGTCGACATGTTGACTGCACGGGCTGGGATCGAACCCTCTCCCTCGAACCTTCTGGTTGAAAGACGACCGCACTCCATCGCAGCCACTGTCGCCCTGCATTTCTGCTCCATGCTACCTCTTTTTTAAATCAGCATAACTCTCCACTTTGAATATAATATATAGTATTGTCATACTTTATTACATTTTACTGCAGTTTCCTGTGTAAATATAGTTTTTTCTTACGTATTCTTCTTTCTGTGTCTCTGTATGCACCACTTCTACCAAAGCAAATTCCTTGTATGCATACACTTACTTGGTAATAAAACCAATTCTGATCCTGACGTGGGATTCTTAATGTTTGTGATAAACTGAATGATGAAATGTGGAAAAGCTGTTTGGATCAGCTGAAGAATGCTCCACCCCAAAGATGTTCTGAGGTCATGAAGAGTTGACATACAATATTATGATCTGATAGAATATGATGCATTGCTTAAGCTGCGAAACACGAAACATTTGAAATATAATGAAAATGTTATTTTGAAGCTTTGCCTAATAGCCTACTTTTTAACTAAATAGAGCTTGAATGCATCATAATGTTACTCAATAAAACCTTGGTTACCATTAGCCTTTAGCCCCGTTATTAAGCCACAAGTCTGTGCTTCTCACTGCTAACAGCTAACAGCTCATTTGAAACTAGCTCTCACCCTGATGATTTCAACACAGACTTCACATTTTAACATGAACCATCAGTGTCTCTCAGTTCTGATGTGGCTGTAGTGTTTGTCATGTATCTGCGTCTGATGTGTGAGACAAAACATTTAAATAATGATCAAGCCATTTTACATTCTGGGTAGTTGAAGTGGCTAAACACACACACACACAGGAACACACTCACACAGGAACACACACACAAACACACTCACACAAACACACAGTGTCTGCATGGAAAACACAGAAGGCATGAAATTACAGTTGCGTCAGTTGGAACGGAGCGCAGGAGGAAACTTTACAGATTAGGTGGAGGCTTCAAGCAAACCTGTGTGTGGGGGGGGGTGTAGGGCATTTTTGTGTGTGTTGAAAGGGGTGTACTAAATAAAGAAATGGCGCTGGTCTTTCTCTCGTTCTTTAATCTGTGTGTGTGTGTGTGTGTGTGTGTGTGTGTGTGTGTGTGTGTGTGTGTGTGTGTGTGTGTGTGTGTGTGTGTGTGTGTGTGTGTGTGTGTGTGTGTGTGTGTGTGTGTGTGTGTGTGTGTGTGTGTGTGTGTGTGTGTGCGTGTGTGCGTGTGTGTGTGTGTTACTTTGGACTGTTAGGCTGTGTGTGTCACCAGATAAGTCGCTCAATATTCACACTTGGCCTGTCACTGGGTGGCATTCAGGTCTCAGCTGCAAGCTGTGTGTGGTGTGTGTGTGTTTGTAATTTTTACACATCATTTAAATGTTTTAGTTTTTGAATATAGACAGTGAGTCTTTTCTCAAAAATGTAAAGACAACTGTCAAGATGTTGTGTTCAATGACTGGGAATTTGATCTTATGAACTATTTGCACGTGTGGCCTCAGCTTAAACATCAACCAGAAAAAAAGACGAGAAAATAACTGAACAAAGAAAGACAAAGTAAATAGAAGACACCAAAAGAAAGAATGACCTGAAACGCACACAAGAGGGAAAGACAGAAATGAAAGAAAGGAAAACAAAAGAAGAAAGACGAACGAAAGGAAGATAAAAGAGAACAGAAGACACGGAAATAAGGCGGGGAGACACAAAAGAAAGAAATGAAAGAAGGAAAGAAAGAAAAAAAAGGAAAAGACACAAAAGACACAAAGAGAAGAGGGGGGGGGTCTGTAAATCACAGTAAGTATCAGAGGATACAGGAGAAATGAGGAGAGGAGAAGAAGAGAGGAGTGAAAGAGCACAACGAGAGATGAAGAGAGATGAGAGGATGTGGAGGAGAGAGTCAAGATGACATGCCATAATAAGAGAGGAGGAAGAGGAAGAGGAGGAGGGTTAGTTTCCTCCTCCAGGGAGACGTCGACCTGTCAGAGTAAATGTCTCCTCTGCAGGGAGATCAAATCATATTTAAAGACCAGACGCTTTCAATCCTGACCTGCTCTTTGTTTGAAGAACCTTGAAGGAGACAGAGGAGGAGGAGGAGGAGGAGGAGGAGGAGGAGGAGGAGGAGGAGGAGGAGGAGGAGGAGGAGGAGGAGGAGGAGGAGGAGGAGGAGGAGGAGGAGGAGGAGGAGGAGGAGGAGGAGGAGGA